ATTTTTTTTATTATTGTGAAGCACTTTGTGACCTCCGAGCTGTGAAAGGTGCTATATAAATAAAGATTTACTTACTTACTTACTTAAAATGTTCACTTTAGTATTTATGGTGTTCTACGTGTTTTGGTCTCATACTTAAGGAATCCCTAGACCGTTGCACAAAAGACCTTACATTACCAGAGTAGAAACAACATTTAAGGTACCTCTGACTCTGTCTTAACTGCAGCATGATTGTGTTTATGGTGATAATGAAAAAACTAACCCCGAGAAGTGTGTTCTGCGACCAGGAGAACCCAGTGGATACGCTTTTGATTTTACACTGTAGATTTCATTGAATTAACTTTCATTGCAATTTCTTCCTACAGTCGTTTTCTGGTGTTTGGGGATCAAATGTCTTAGATGTATTCCTCTAGAAGTATAATCTTTTCCTCCTCTGGCCGGTATGTTTTTCTTATCTTCTTTTCTTCTGCCATCTAACTACAAGCCAACTTTGTGAAACAATAGCAGGCATCACAAGTGTGAGTCCAAGCGAACAATCAATCTCCATGGAAACTTCTACTGCGGCAAAATCTCTTTCAATCCAGTAAATGAGTTAACATTTTCCCTCACAAAGGAAGCCTTTTAAGGGATTCTGTGCAACTGTATAAGTACCTTATAGCTAAGGCGAGATTAAGCCTAAGGTGTCATACTAAAGGAGAAAACATCAGGTGTTTTTTGCAACCAGTCCATGGGGCTTACATTACTCACAACTTGACTGCTGACTGATTGGTTAGTAGATTTTGCTGCACGGATGTATAAAGAGAACTGGACACCTCGTAGAGGCCCCGTTCATTTCTATTCAAGTTGCTTAATCGACATATGAAGCCAAAAAAGCTTGATTTCCATGGTGTGAAATTACCCAGATCTCCTACATCCTGGGACCCATAGTGCAAGCACATTAGAGACTTTCGGCACCTGAGCGGCTACCTTCCACTTTAGCCCTCTGCTAACTTGAATGGGGATAAAAAATAATTTAAGTGTGCAGCTTTTCTAGACGTTCGAATGTTATCAGACCAAATGGATAAAATTCTGATAGTGAAGGGATTGTGATGCTCAAATAAATGTATCCACTGATTTACAATGTAAGTCTATGGGAAAAGTCTTTTTGGGCCCCATGGCATCATGTGAAGGATCCAGAAGTTGTATTTATACACTCGGCTGTTCTGGGAGCTTGTTTTGTTGTGCTATGCTAGCAGCACCTAATGTATCCTCGAGCAGAGATAAGGAGCTGGTTACAGAGGTCTGGTAAGCTCACTGTGCTATTCAGACAAAGAGTGAAATAAGAGGAGACAGATGTGGACAAAAATCCCCCCATATTTGACCTTTCTTCTAAGCTAATTCGAGTCGGAGTGCATGCAGGCACAAACCAATTAGGGCTGAGGAAAGCTGGGGAGAGGTCAACAGGCTGGCTATTATCTGGCTGTGCCAAAAATATACCTGACAAGATATGGGGCAAGATTTAGGTCAAGAGAAAAAAGACCTGATTTGGACAATTGTGGTCTGTAGGTCAACAAGGCCAGGTGGATGTGGATAAGGGGGTAGAAGTCGATTTTTTCCCAGGTCTCCAGTGGCCACTCAAGAAGACATCATACTGTGAATGTGTGTGTGTGTCTGTACATGTCTGTGCATTTGAGTTTGACTTTTGGGTCTCAACTGAAAGAATTTGCACTGAAATCCAACCTCAGATGTGTCACACTAGCTGTCTGTAATGGCTGTGCGATAGGTGTGGGCTGAAGTTCTTTCGGTGTCTGGGGAAAACCTATTGATGTAAAGACGTCCCTCTACCGCAGAAGTAGAGAATGGAAACCAATTTGCGGGACATATGACCTGACTGTGGTGGGACAGAGTGACCTCACTAACAATAAGAAGGGAGCACCTTCAGACCCTCCTATCCCCTCTAATGCGAGCGGTGTCAGCTATGATTCATTTGCAGAGAGACTGCATAGATTGAGGTGTATGACCTCAGCGCCAACCCTTTGTTGACAGAAACAGCCATGTGTTTATGTGTGTAGCTACAGTGCACATGTAATGGTGCAGAGGTGATTTATGTTTGGTAAGATGCTGGTGTGTCTTAAGTGTAATCCTAGAAGTTCTTGTGAACTTCAGCACCTTGAAATTGATGTTTCACTGAAGAAATCATTTTTGGAGGCTGAAATAAGGTCACTTTCTTCACCCTTCATCCATTTTTCATGGACACAGGATGAAAAGTTAAAATCCCACATGCAGATAGGTTTTTGTTACAACGGCACTGCACAGGGTATTTTTTAATGGCTCCTCTATGCAGTGGGATTTTACCATTATTCAAGTGGGACTACATGGGTTTTCATTATGATAATATAACCTACTGCTTTGATATCAATTGTTTTTTTCCCAAATACCAAATCTAGACTCCTGTATAGACCTGTCAAACTGTTTCTAATGAGAACATGGAAGAAATTTATTCACACATTTGACAAATGTTTTGTGAGAATTAGATGAAAAATCAATGGTTAAAGCCATTTAAGTGATCCAGTCTAAAATTCATAGACACAAAGGTTAGAGTTACGGTTCAGTGCAGCCGTTTTATTGTAACCAAGTATTGTTGGGTAATTGCACATGCAAATTGGTCAATTTTTACAGTCATGCTGGTCTCAGAAGATTTTTACTGGGATAATGAGATTTTTTTTCCTCTCCAGTACCTCTTATTGGTTGATTTAAGGTGCAGTCTCACCAGCAGAAAGTACTGCTGTATGTGGTGTGTTGATTGGACATTAGATTATTAGATCTTCCTGAGATTTCTACTATTTTTCCCCTGTTAAAGGGTTTTGGCGAGGTTTTCTTCATCTCCTGTGGATGTTCAAGGACAGAGGGATGTTGTATTCCTTAAAGCCCTCTGAGGCAAAATGTGATTTGTAATATTGGGCTTTATAAATAAAATTGAACTGAGTTTTCATTGGCAGCTTTTTGTTATGCCATGTCCAGGTTCATAAGCCTATTTGTTCATGGTTGCAGTCATTGATCTGAATTTGCGTAGACAATAGGGGTGTATCAGTAGGTGTATTCATCCTGAACTGCTCAGTACAGGATGTCCGGTTTGGCGCAACATACATTTGGTACACCTTGTGACCCAAACAGTCAAATGAGTCTATCTGTGTCTATTAATCGCACACGTGGAACCAAAATTCTGAAGCTCGAGTTTTCCCTGGAACGTTTTGTCAGTGCACTAATTGCTGTGGCATGCTAGTCAGCTTAGCCCAGTTAGCCGGGTCACTCAAGCACAATGGACAACAATTTGTTTCTACATGTATGCTGACATTGTTCAGCTGAAGTCAGGTATGTCTGTGGAAACACTTCAGACATTTCATTTATGAGGGCATCACCTGAATGTGTCAATTAGTGTAACTAGACAAAAACAGACTGGAGGCACTCAGGCAGCCTCACACTGCATTGAACCATGCTGAAGTAATAACTGATGCCACGTAGTGTTAATCGCTGCATATATGCAATGAAACCTATGTTGTATAGAATACCAGATTAAAGCATATGGTCAAAGCATATGTGCCTGCCCTGTGTAAGCAAATGCAATTATCAACAGGTCAGTTTTATGGTGGAGCATTACATTACATTATTGGCATTTTTGTGATTTATTTTGATTTATTTTTTCTTATGGAGAATATGCTAGTATTTAAGTGCTTTTTAGAATTATGGCCAGTGAGTCACTAATTGTTGTTTACATTTTTTAAAAGAAATTAAGAAATTATAAAATATATATTTTCTAATGGTGGAGGAAAAAATTATAATAATTATGATAATTTTGTGTGGCAATATCGTATCGATACACAGATGCCAAGTATTGATTTTTAAATTAAATGAATTATTAATATTACAAATACAAATTAAACTTTTTTTTTGTAGCCTACTAGAATACTATAATCTTGCCCCTTTTTTATTCACTAGACACATTTTGCGGCAATGAAAATCATCAAAGTGAGATGAACAGACTGAAAACGTTATCTTATTAGATAAAACAGATGTTGATAAAGTTTTCTTTTTAGGACACAGTTTTTATATTTTATCACAATACTCAGCATATCATGATATTTTTAATATCGCATTGTGATAATATCATATCGTAGGGCCTCTGGTGATTCTCACGCCTAATATTTTCTGCATTTTTTTGTTTACCCTGCTTTGCTGAAATAATTCATGATACTAAAATCGATGTGCTGTACGTATTGAACTGTGAATTTTGTGTACCGTTACATCCCTAGTAGACAATAGTTGAAAAGTTTCAGCGTCTAGTATTAGATTTTTTGGCCACTTGGGGGCAGTGCAAACAAGATGTGTAAACAATACTTATATATTGTCATCTTTTAGGATGTTATGGCAAACTTTATAACAAAGTTGCCTATTTACAGACTTAGCAGAAACGGAGCAACATTAGCATTAATTTGGAGTTGTCTTTCTGACTACCTGATGAATGTAAGACCAATAGTCGCTCCTGTTTTAGCTCCAGTTTTGGTCTCCACCAACCACTAAAAACATATTTCCCCTCTTTAGCTGCTAAATGCTTCACCTGTCTCTGTAAAGCACTTTGAATTACCTTGTGTTGAATTGTGCTATACAAATAAACTTGCCTTGCCCTGCCTTGCCACCATGTACACTAGCGAGCTAGCTTTGCTAACTAGCTACTAGCTATTCTCTAACTTCATCTGCTGTTTGGTGCTGAGCAGTTAGTGTACAGTGGGTTTTCTGTGATTTCTTGTTGCAAGTGACCCCTCTCAGTAGTCACATGACCCATTGGTTATATGAAAATATTGATTATAGCAACCAAATGTTATGGTCCACTTGGCAAATTATATGCACACTCAGGAGAACAGGTTAGGGAGCGCCTCCATGTGTCCTCTTGAGACCATATTTCATCAGAGTTGTACGTCATAAATAGTGTGCACATTTCTCAAATAAATATGTTAACACCTGTGTATGATTCAAGTATCACAATTTATTACAAAAACTAGAACTTTTTTCATCTGTCCGTGTTGCCATGCTTTAAGCATATAACAATACAGTATAAAATCTCAACCCAAAAGTCGGATAGTAAAAGCAAAGATCATAGATGCTGACGCAGCATTTACAGAAGTTAAGACATGCTGTTACTGTACAGAGAACATTCCCATTGAAGTACAAACATCTGCAAAATGCGTCATTATCATCAAATGAATTGCATTTTACGATAAACGATCTGATCCGGCCTCGCTCAGAGTGTTACGAGAAACACCTCTTCTCAAAATTAATTTACAGGAAAATAAACACAAACACTCTGCAAATCATAATGAATGTGCTGAGATTCTTTTTTCAACAGCCCAAGGCACTCAGGCTCGAATGTTGGCAATAATTACGTCATTCTTTACACAAAATCACGTCAAGCAGGTGGTGGTAGAGAAAGAATAGTGAGAGAGAAACAATGACGTCTATTTCATGACCTCTTGAAGAGCATGTTCCTTTTAAAGAAGTCCACCTTGTCCTTTTTCACAGTGAAAATCCCTGGCAGTCGAGACAGAAAAGATGTTTGAAGGAGTCAGTCGTTTTGTTGAATTGCGTGACATCTGGCTAAAAACTACATGACCTCCTGCTGTACTTTTGATGCTGGCCTGACATTTTGGTCTCCGAGAGCGTCCCCTGCTCTCTGGAGCGACATCGGCTGCTTCTTCCCCCAACCACAAGTAGGCCTGATGGCGCATTCAAGCACCACAGGATGCCAAAGTGTCCATTTAGCAGTGAACCTGTCCCATATGAGAATCTGGTAAAAATCTATCAAGTGTCCACAAATGATGTTTTCAAATATCTATAACAAATCCAGATGCTATTCATTGAAATAATCCTGATCTTTCAAATTAGTTTACCGATGCTGTGACAACAGAGTGGCTTTAACAAATGCATTGATCTTCTCTTTCCTGTGCTTCAGTTGAGCTGGCGACAAGCTTCAAATGTCCACTTCGAGGCACCTCCGTAAATATCAAGGCTTGTCTCCATCCACGCAAAAACGTTGCCCACTTGCGCTTTGCTGCTGCACGTGGCCAGATTGTAAATCTCTCCCACGGATAGTTTCCGATCCCAGATGTGAAAATTTGCCAGGTCTCCGACAAAAGCTTGTGTGGCGTCGAATCCTCCTCCGAGCGTGTCCTGTGGAAAAGACAAATGGATTTAATCAAGTATGATATGATTTTTCTCCTCCGGCTGCTTTATGGAAAAAATGAAATTGCCTCTTGGATTATCTGGATTTTTTTTTTGACTGATTAAATTGAATAAGGCATCTTCAATCCACTGGGATTCTTGATGAGTTCCAGTTAAAGATCTAATCACCTTATTAAACCTATTATGGGAATTAGAGTGGGGATGGATTGGAAAATTGAAATCTGATTATTTTTTATGTCACAGTGAAATAGAAAAATTACTTTTCCACCTTGTTAGCTAATGTTTCGCGTCATGACATACACCCATTATATTTAATCATGTCTTTTAATAATCCCTCTGCATCATGTCTCACCTTAACACTGTGGTAGTGAGATGGATTTTTTTGTGCGTATGTCCTGTCATGTATGAAATATTGTATTTGGAGTTGACCGCAGGAAGAATAGCTCCTGCTCCATGAAATGAAATGAAACATCCTGGTAGTGAATTGAGTAGTAAAGATGCTCTGCTAATGGAGTTGATGTGTTGCTTGTGTGTGTTGCCTTAATGGAAGTGGAGAGCATTTGAAATGGATGTGTGTGTGTTTACCTGCTCTTGACCGAGGATCAGCAGGCCCTGTGGTTTGATTGGATGATATGGAGCCAGATTCTCTCCACTCCCCCTCTTGACGCCATCTTGGAAAGCTTCCCAAACACCATCACGAGTGGTCCAGGTTACGCAGATGTGATGCCACTTTCCATCATTGATGAGAAAGGGCAGTTTAGCAACCTAGAAGAAAACAGAAGGTATGACGTGAGAGTTTGCTGCATTGAGCAAAAAAAAGTACAGTTTAAAGTAGTCGATGTTTCACCGTTAAGTGGTTAAACGCCAAGAATATATCTGATTGGTTACACATGTTAATCTGTAGATTATTTTTGTTACTCTTCACTTTACTGCTCTGCACACTACCTAGATCGCCGAGGGCGGGCTAGCCACGTTAACATGCAGAAACATGGTGCCCACTGCCCACCCTGCAGTCTCCACTGGTTAGCCTTTGTACTGCGCAACACCCAGGTCAGGTTGGAGCTAGCTAGTGGTGCCAACATTTAGCAATTACAGCCAGTAACACCGCCCTGACTCAACAGCACTGTTGTGGAAATATTGGGCATCCAGTCTCTGCTAGGTCGCCTCAGTGAGTAAGTGGCTCAATTTTAAGCCACAAACCCTCTTCAGCATTGTTAACTACTGTTAGCACTGTTAGCAGTGTCAGCACGACAAGTGGTGCTAACATAGTAAACAATGCTAACAGGGTTTTGTGGCTCAAAAAAAGCCGGTCACCTGTCAGGGCTACCTGGGGGTAGACCAGATAGTAGCTCGTCGCAGCAACTTTGTCCTGCGTTACCAGTGCTTATTGCAAATTAGCGGCGGTGCTAACTAGCTGTTCCTTGAACCTGCTGGTTCGCAGTGCAGAGCAGCCAAGGCCAACATTACCTAACCAGTGGAAACTGGAGGGTGGGCAGTGGGCACAATGTTTTTGCATGTTAACATGACTAGCCAACACATTCTCACTCCGATCTCATCACATATTGACGTTTTGGTCATGGACTTTCTACGTCCACATACGACGTGCAAGGTACCCTGGGTGTGTTGGTTGTTGACGTTCTGGGACACCGTGTCAAGGTCTCTTCTTTCAAGATACACTTCCGTCTTCACTGGAAATTTACCATTTACATACAGTCACTTTCAAAATAAATGCACTACGTCGGTACAACACTNGGGTGTCTCTGGGAGTGCTTTGAAGTGGTTTCGCCTCCTACCTCAGTGAGAGAATTTTCTCAGTAGCTGTTGGCCCTTTTGTGTCTGACCCTGCTCTCCTGTCATGTGGCCTGCCTCAGGGTTCTGTTCTGGCTCCTTTACTGTTCTCTCTGTACATGCTTCCCCTTGGCCATATCATTAGTGATTTCAAAGGCGTCTCCTATCACTGTTATGCAGATGACATTCAACTACACCTGTCATTTAAACCGGATAACTTTAAAGAAATCAGCTCACTCCATGAATGTCTGTCTGCTATCAAGAACTGGATGGCCAACAACTTCTCCAACTAAATGCAGACAAGACCAAGGTTCTGATCACTGCTGATGACTCAACGGTCTCAAAGGTGATCGACCACATGGGGTCACTATCACAATACATCAGATCTAACCTAAGGAACCTTGGAGTCATTTTTGACCAAAATATGCTGTTTGACAAACATGTCAATTCCCTGTCCCGCTCATGCTTCTTCCACCTCAGAAACCTTGCAAAACTCGGGTCCATCATCTCACACTCAGAACTGGAAATGGCTATCCACGCATTTATTTCATCCCAGCTTGATTATTGCAATTCACTGTTCACCTGCCTCAGTAAATCATCCCTGGACCGTCTACAACTTGCTCAAAATGCCGCTGCCAGATTACTCACTCGATCACCCCCATCCTAGCATCCCTGCACTGGCTTCATGTTCATTTCAGATCCCACTTCAAAATCCTGGTCCTAACTTACAGAGCCCTCCACAATACAGCCCCTGTTTACATCTGCGAGCTCCTCAAACCCTACATCCCCAGCCAGTCACTTAGGTCTTCTGACCAGATGCTCCTGGTCGTGCCTTGGTCGAGACTAAAAACCTGTGGTGCCCGAGCCTTCCAAACCATTGCCCCAAAGCTCTGGACCTCCCTGCCCCTGGATCTGAGATCCTCACCCTCTGTCCAGATTTTTAAGGTGCAATTGAAGACACACCTTTTCGGGCAGGCTTTTGGACATCTGTAACCAAGTATGTAGTATGTTTTAAATAGATTGCTGTTTATGTTGCTCTGTATTTTCGTTTGTATTGCACTGTTTTATGTTTTTATATTTTTTATTTTTTTTATTATTGTGAAGCACTTTGTGACCTCCGAGCTGTGAAAGGTGCTATATAAATAAAGATTTACTTACTTACTTACTTAAAATGTTCACTTTAGTATTTATGGTGTTCTACGTGTTTTGGTCTCATACTTAAGGAATCCCTAGACCGTTGCACAAAAGACCTTACATTACCAGAGTAGAAACAACATTTAAGGTACCTCTGACTCTGTCTTAACTGCAGCATGATTGTGTTTATGGTGATAATGAAAAAACTAACCCCGAGAAGTGTGTTCTGCGACCAGGAGAACCCAGTGGATACGCTTTTGATTTTACACTGTAGATTTCATTGAATTAACTTTCATTGCAATTTCTTCCTACAGTCGTTTTCTGGTGTTTGGGGATCAAATGTCTTAGATGTATTCCTCTAGAAGTATAATCTTTTCCTCCTCTGGCCGGTATGTTTTTCTTATCTTCTTTTCTTCTGCCATCTAACTACAAGCCAACTTTGTGAAACAATAGCAGGCATCACAAGTGTGAGTCCAAGCGAACAATCAATCTCCATGGAAACTTCTACTGCGGCAAAATCTCTTTCAATCCAGTAAATGAGTTAACATTTTCCCTCACAAAGGAAGCCTTTTAAGGGATTCTGTGCAACTGTATAAGTACCTTATAGCTAAGGCGAGATTAAGCCTAAGGTGTCATACTAAAGGAGAAAACATCAGGTGTTTTTTGCAACCAGTCCATGGGGCTTACATTACTCACAACTTGACTGCTGACTGATTGGTTAGTAGATTTTGCTGCACGGATGTATAAAGAGAACTGGACACCTCGTAGAGGCCCCGTTCATTTCTATTCAAGTTGCTTAATCGACATATGAAGCCAAAAAAGCTTGATTTCCATGGTGTGAAATTACCCAGATCTCCTACATCCTGGGACCCATAGTGCAAGCACATTAGAGACTTTCGGCACCTGAGCGGCTACCTTCCACTTTAGCCCTCTGCTAACTTGAATGGGGATAAAAAATAATTTAAGTGTGCAGCTTTTCTAGACGTTCGAATGTTATCAGACCAAATGGATAAAATTCTGATAGTGAAGGGATTGTGATGCTCAAATAAATGTATCCACTGATTTACAATGTAAGTCTATGGGAAAAGTCTTTTTGGGCCCCATGGCATCATGTGAAGGATCCAGAAGTTGTATTTATACACTCGGCTGTTCTGGGAGCTTGTTTTGTTGTGCTATGCTAGCAGCACCTAATGTATCCTCGAGCAGAGATAAGGAGCTGGTTACAGAGGTCTGGTAAGCTCACTGTGCTATTCAGACAAAGAGTGAAATAAGAGGAGACAGATGTGGACAAAAATCCCCCCATATTTGACCTTTCTTCTAAGCTAATTCGAGTCGGAGTGCATGCAGGCACAAACCAATTAGGGCTGAGGAAAGCTGGGGAGAGGTCAACAGGCTGGCTATTATCTGGCTGTGCCAAAAATATACCTGACAAGATATGGGGCAAGATTTAGGTCAAGAGAAAAAAGACCTGATTTGGACAATTGTGGTCTGTAGGTCAACAAGGCCAGGTGGATGTGGATAAGGGGGTAGAAGTCGATTTTTTCCCAGGTCTCCAGTGGCCACTCAAGAAGACATCATACTGTGAATGTGTGTGTGTGTCTGTACATGTCTGTGCATTTGAGTTTGACTTTTGGGTCTCAACTGAAAGAATTTGCACTGAAATCCAACCTCAGATGTGTCACACTAGCTGTCTGTAATGGCTGTGCGATAGGTGTGGGCTGAAGTTCTTTCGGTGTCTGGGGAAAACCTATTGATGTAAAGACGTCCCTCTACCGCAGAAGTAGAGAATGGAAACCAATTTGCGGGACATATGACCTGACTGTGGTGGGACAGAGTGACCTCACTAACAATAAGAAGGGAGCACCTTCAGACCCTCCTATCCCCTCTAATGCGAGCGGTGTCAGCTATGATTCATTTGCAGAGAGACTGCATAGATTGAGGTGTATGACCTCAGCGCCAACCCTTTGTTGACAGAAACAGCCATGTGTTTATGTGTGTAGCTACAGTGCACATGTAATGGTGCAGAGGTGATTTATGTTTGGTAAGATGCTGGTGTGTCTTAAGTGTAATCCTAGAAGTTCTTGTGAACTTCAGCACCTTGAAATTGATGTTTCACTGAAGAAATCATTTTTGGAGGCTGAAATAAGGTCACTTTCTTCACCCTTCATCCATTTTTCATGGACACAGGATGAAAAGTTAAAATCCCACATGCAGATAGGTTTTTGTTACAACGGCACTGCACAGGGTATTTTTTAATGGCTCCTCTATGCAGTGGGATTTTACCATTATTCAAGTGGGACTACATGGGTTTTCATTATGATAATATAACCTACTGCTTTGATATCAATTGTTTTTTTCCCAAATACCAAATCTAGACTCCTGTATAGACCTGTCAAACTGTTTCTAATGAGAACATGGAAGAAATTTATTCACACATTTGACAAATGTTTTGTGAGAATTAGATGAAAAATCAATGGTTAAAGCCATTTAAGTGATCCAGTCTAAAATTCATAGACACAAAGGTTAGAGTTACGGTTCAGTGCAGCCGTTTTATTGTAACCAAGTATTGTTGGGTAATTGCACATGCAAATTGGTCAATTTTTACAGTCATGCTGGTCTCAGAAGATTTTTACTGGGATAATGAGATTTTTTTTCCTCTCCAGTACCTCTTATTGGTTGATTTAAGGTGCAGTCTCACCAGCAGAAAGTACTGCTGTATGTGGTGTGTTGATTGGACATTAGATTATTAGATCTTCCTGAGATTTCTACTATTTTTCCCCTGTTAAAGGGTTTTGGCGAGGTTTTCTTCATCTCCTGTGGATGTTCAAGGACAGAGGGATGTTGTATTCCTTAAAGCCCTCTGAGGCAAAATGTGATTTGTAATATTGGGCTTTATAAATAAAATTGAACTGAGTTTTCATTGGCAGCTTTTTGTTATGCCATGTCCAGGTTCATAAGCCTATTTGTTCATGGTTGCAGTCATTGATCTGAATTTGCGTAGACAATAGGGGTGTATCAGTAGGTGTATTCATCCTGAACTGCTCAGTACAGGATGTCCGGTTTGGCGCAACATACATTTGGTACACCTTGTGACCCAAACAGTCAAATGAGTCTATCTGTGTCTATTAATCGCACACGTGGAACCAAAATTCTGAAGCTCGAGTTTTCCCTGGAACGTTTTGTCAGTGCACTAATTGCTGTGGCATGCTAGTCAGCTTAGCCCAGTTAGCCGGGTCACTCAAGCACAATGGACAACAATTTGTTTCTACATGTATGCTGACATTGTTCAGCTGAAGTCAGGTATGTCTGTGGAAACACTTCAGACATTTCATTTATGAGGGCATCACCTGAATGTGTCAATTAGTGTAACTAGACAAAAACAGACTGGAGGCACTCAGGCAGCCTCACACTGCATTGAACCATGCTGAAGTAATAACTGATGCCACGTAGTGTTAATCGCTGCATATATGCAATGAAACCTATGTTGTATAGAATACCAGATTAAAGCATATGGTCAAAGCATATGTGCCTGCCCTGTGTAAGCAAATGCAATTATCAACAGGTCAGTTTTATGGTGGAGCATTACATTACATTATTGGCATTTTTGTGATTTATTTTGATTTATTTTTTCTTATGGAGAATATGCTAGT